ATATATATATATATATATATACATATATATATATATATGTATATATACATGTGAGATATTACATTGAGAGTGGGAGTGTGAAAGTGCATAAACATGGGTGATGAGAGTGTTGCTGCTTCGCCTCATTTTGGTTTGATATCTGAAGAGGACCATCTCTGGTTCAGTTTCCTTGAACTAGAAGCCGCTTATACTCATAGTGTTCTGGACGATCCTTCTGTTACGTTCTTTCCCCTCTTTTTTTTTTCTATCATAACTACTTATCAAATGACAATTTTTCATGTCTTGAGCAGATATCACAGTGTGTGGAGACACCGCCTCAAATCCAAAATCAAAACCAAGTGGTGATATAATTGATTAATTAGTTACTGAGGTTTTAATTTCAATGTGATAGCATTTTTTGTTCCCTTTTGCAATTTGCATGGTGCATTGGTCTAGGTCGCAGCAGAAATGGGATGCGAAGGTGAATACGGTAGTGAAGCGCACCGAGCAGCCTCGCTGAGTAGGTTCCGTCAAAAGAGAAAACGACGATGTTTTGCTAATAAAATAAGATACAAGACACGCCAAGAAGCTACTCTCAGGTTAGATCAGATGAGATCCATCAGAATTCTGAATTTTGAATATTCATATTTCTTCTCTGTTCATCTTATTCATATGCCTTTCCACATTAACTGATTACTCTGCTTAGGGTACATCGTAGTAAGAGCCAGTTTATTTTATCCAAAATCCATGAGTCAGAGCAAGATGTCTTTCAATCAGAGATATTGTGAGTTTTCTGCCCTTCGTACTGTTTTCAATTTCTGCTGTTTTTAGTTTCATTTGAATTCTTATTATTGATACTTTCCCCGGCTTCAAAAATTCTATTGCCATTTATTTATCAAATGTCTTTTAAAACAGAACAATGTTTGGTAAACTGGCCAAATACCTCCCAAAATTTTCCATTTATCTAAAATTTATTGTTTTTGTTTTTATTTTAACAATAATAAATGGTCAGATTTGTTGTGTTTTTTATAGATGCTGTAACTGTGGCATTAGCTCAAAATGCACTCCTATGATGCGGCGAGGGCCATCTGGGCCAGCCTCACTTTGCAACGCTTGTGGCCTGTCTTGGGCAAACAGGGTATGATTGGCAAATTCTTTCTATATATCTCTTTTTCTTTTTATTAATTATGTAATGTCGAAGTACTTTTTTAAAGAAAAAACTTTGAAATATTATAACATGAAAGTTTAAAAATAATTTTTAAAAGTTGGACAGAGTTAAGAAAAAAAATTTCCAAATTCACAAATTTGAAAATTACTTTTGACTTTTAAATTATATAATCTAAAAAAGATTAAAAAACAAACTAATATTCATTAGATTGCAGGAAGAATTTGCCAAAATGTTTTCTTCAATTTTTTTTTATGTTATGTTTGGTTCACAGATAACTTCTTTTGTCCTTACTTTGTCAGGGTGTCTTCAATTATAAGAAAGCAATCTAATGCATGTAAATGGTTAAGGGAGAAAATATAAGAGATCTGAATTATAAGTATCTGTTGGACAGAATACTTTGTGGGATAGAAATTTGTCTTCTGTTCGGTTAATTGCACAGGATCTATATATACATTCTATTAAAAGATAATTTATGTATAATAAGAAATTATTAATAAATTTATTTTGTGATCTTTAGTTGTAGATATGCAACTCATATAATTAAGAAATTATACATCAAAACATTGTGAAAATATTCACTATGACCATTTTCTTAACCATTCTATTACTTTTTCTAAAAAAAATAGTTTAAATACCACAAGTTTATATTGTTTTATCCCTTGATATAATTAGACAAGATAATATTGTTAAAAAGAAAAGATAATTTAAATGCTCTATTCATATTTCAATAAGCTCTGTTTTTTTTATAGTCAAAATACTCTAAAAGGTAATCCATAAAATTTCCTTTTTAAAAACAAATATGGTTTTCACCTTTGCTGTTTTTTCACATAGGAGTTTCTTCTTGTAGTTTCTGTTTGGGAAAGGGTAACTTTAACATTTCAACAATCTTATAATATTTTATCAATTTAAGAAATTATAATTTATACATATATATAAAGAGAGAGAGGAGAATTTGGTATCTTGTGGCCAGAGGGTAAGGTTTTGCTGTTAATCTGAGAAAAGTCTTATCTCTGAGTGGCATATCTGATCTCATCAACTTCCCATTCTTCTCTAATGGCTGTTTCGGCTATCACTGGAGCGAGGCTAACCCTAGGGATGCCTCTTTCCTCTCCCGCACTCACACGCAGAACAACTTCTCCTGCGCTCGTTATGGCCGTCTCCATTGACCACAAGGTCGACAACAAACTCACTCTTACCAAGTCCGAGGAGGCTTTCGCTGCTGCCAAGGTACGATACCTCTTCCTCTGCAATTGGAATCATACTCAATGATTTTATTTAATTTTGATTTCGATTTTGATTTTCATGTTAGGAGCTGTTGCCTGGAGGTGTGAACTCCCCAGTTCGTGCCTTCAAATCGGTAGGTGGTCAACCAATTGTGATTGATTCTGTTAAAGGGTCTCGCATGTGGGACATCGATGGAAATGAATACATTGACTACGTCGGTTCTTGGGGTCCTGCCATTATTGGACACGCTGATGATCAGGTAAGAACCAATCTTCCCGTTTTCCATTCATTCGTTTATAATATATTACTTGTGTTAAATACACTCAGAATGAGAGTCTTAAAACACCGTAAGAAAAGAAAAAAATGGAATTGGGTTATATTGAAGGATTTAATTTGAATGCACTGTCAGTTCAAACGTTTTTTCTTTCCATTAGATATTTTTTTCTTATTGACAGTAAAGGTCGTCGTTACATTGGCTGAATGAAAATTAAACTTCGTGTATGTTGGAACTTGTAATCACATTGACAGGTGCTTGCAGCTCTGGGTGAAACCATGAAAAAAGGAACCAGCTTTGGTGCACCCTGTTTGTTGGAAAACACTTTGGCTGAGCTGGTTATCGATGCCGTCCCTAGCATTGAAATGGTTCGGTTTGTCAATTCAGGCACGGAAGCTTGCATGGGTGCGCTCCGTCTTGCACGTGCTTATACAGGCCAAGAGAAGATCATCAAGTTTGAAGGGTGTTATCATGGCCATGCAGATCCTTTTCTTGTTAAGGCTGGCAGTGGAGTTGCCACCTTAGGACTTCCTGATTCCCCTGGTGTCCCCAAAGCTGCCACGTATGAAACCCTTACAGCCCCCTACAATGACATCTTGGCCGTTGAGAAGCTCTTTGAGAATAACAAAGGAGAAATTGCCGCTGTTTTCCTGGAACCTGTTGTTGGAAACGCTGGTTTTATTGTTCCTACACCTGAATTTCTTAATTTCTTGCGCAAAATCACCAAAGAGAACAATACCCTTCTCGTGTTTGATGAAGTTATGACCGGATTTCGATTGTCATATGGAGGTGCTCAAGAGTATTTTGGTATAACTCCTGATTTAACAACTCTTGGAAAGATAATTGGTGGAGGTTTACCGGTGGGTGCTTATGGTGGGAGGAGGGATATCATGGAGATGGTGGCACCAGCTGGCCCAATGTACCAGGCTGGGACCTTGAGTGGGAACCCTTTGGCCATGACTGCAGGCATACATACCCTGCAGCGTATTAAGGAGCCAGGAACTTACGAGTACTTGGACAAAGTCACAGGTGAGCTTGTTCAGGGCATTATTGAAGCTGGGAAGAGGGCAGGCCATGCAATATGTGGTGGGCATATTAGTGGGATGTTTGGTTTTTTCTTCACAGAAGGACCTGTGTATAATTTTACAGATGCCAAGAAGAGTGACACTGCCAAGTTTGCTAGGTTCTTTTGGGGAATGCTGGCAGAAGGTGTTTATTTGGCACCATCCCAGTTTGAGGCTGGCTTCACCAGCTTGGCACATACTTCTGATGACATTAAAAAGACAATAGCCGCTGCTGAAAAAGTTTTCAGAGAGATCTGAATGATAAATTTTGTTTCGTTGCAAAATTTAGAGAATGATTTTGTAGGTCACTTTAGATTATTGTTATGGCAATTGCTTTCGTTTGTATCTGTATTATTTTCCAGTCCTGTATCTACCCGGTGTATTATCTTGAGCTGTAAGTCACTTGAATTTGAAGCTTGTAAGCATTTGAAATCATTGTCTAACTTTTAATTCTAGTGCCACGTTTTATGTTGTTGTTGGCGTGTATTTTGGTTATGCATTACATATCAGGATACATCTTTGTGGACTACACACTTTCAGGGTGGGAATAGGCAGAGAATTATGTTACTACTAATTAAATTGAAGATAATAGATGAACCTTGTTTTCTAAATGGATGGATGAACTTGAGCAAGATGTCCGTATTATTAAAGAAGCAAACAGATAGGACGATCAACATTTTTCTGTTGCCTACAGGGGTGGACTGTTAATGAATATTTTTCCATATTTGCATAAGCTATTCATTAAAACTATACTCATGGTGTGCATACTCATTTCTCTTGCAACAATTATTAGCAGGAGCCCAGACACAATGGTTTGACTAGCAAGGGTTCTTTCTTTATTCGCCGTTTGAGAGCAAGTATAGTTGACATGTTCTTGTAAGTCTCGAGTGCCTCTCTAAAATTCACCCAACATCAATTTCCAAGTTCTATAAATACTCATTCAGGTCCCTGAAACGTGCATGTACCACAATACTCATTAGGTTGAATGTTTATTACAAACTTCGGGCAACTTTGCTTATTTTTCTGATAAACGGCAGCGATTTTGAAAATAATTAGCTGTTGTATTAATCGGAGGGTTTTCCAGAAAGGCCACAATCAGTGCAGAGCATTTTATGTCGACCGGAACAATTTTTTAAGGTAAACAGAGTTCCGTTTTTTTTTATTTTTACAAATATTTAATGCAGATACTTTCATTTTGTGTATTTTCGAGTTCTACGCTCAGCATTTTTTTCCTCAACTAGCGTAATACCCTTGCCCATGCACATTAGAAATCAAACAAGATGAAGGATAAAGAAAATTCTGATATATTTTGAGCCTCTGATACTTATATCACAACCTCTAATGTATCGCAACCTTCACATGAAATGTACAATGCAGTTAAATTAAATTTTGTCTTCATACAAAATTTGGGTTTCAATCTGCAGCCTCTGTCAAGATGCTCCGTGTGGACTTCAGCCAGCCGATCTCGCAAAAAGTCCAAAGTAAGCTGGATCTCAAAAGAAAAAAGATGATGTTAAGTGTCTGAACAAAGCCAAAGTATAAGAGCAGCTATAGTTTGGCTTATAACCTATATCATCATGCAGATACGACTATCATACATATATTCAATAAAGAAAAACTGAGACGATTACAAAATATTATACTTCTTTCAAAATCCCAACGACCAAGTATCCTCAAATATCTCAATATTTTATCACGGCTGAATAGACTCAACTCTCACAGTAAATAAACGATTTTCCTCTACAAAAGATGAGCTGTTAGACTGTGACATGCCTCTTGCTTGGATGTTACATCAAACAAATGAAGGAACTTGCTATTGTTATGCTTTCATTACCTACATTTACCATTAGCCCATGTTTACAGGTTATTAAATTCCTCTTTATATCTTGTTAACAATTTAAAATAAAAAGAAAAATCNAAAAAAAATAGTTTAAATACCACAAGTTTATATTGTTTTATCCCTTGATATAATTAGACAAGATAATATTGTTAAAAAGAAAAGATAATTTAAATGCTCTATTCATATTTCAATAAGCTCTGTTTTTTTTATAGTCAAAATACTCTAAAAGGTAATCCATAAAATTTCCTTTTTAAAAACAAATATGGTTTTCACCTTTGCTGTTTTTTCACATAGGAGTTTCTTCTTGTAGTTTCTGTTTGGGAAAGGGTAACTTTAACATTTCAACAATCTTATAATATTTTATCAATTTAAGAAATTATAATTTATACATATATATAAAGAGAGAGAGGAGAATTTGGTATCTTGTGGCCAGAGGGTAAGGTTTTGCTGTTAATCTGAGAAAAGTCTTATCTCTGAGTGGCATATCTGATCTCATCAACTTCCCATTCTTCTCTAATGGCTGTTTCGGCTATCACTGGAGCGAGGCTAACCCTAGGGATGCCTCTTTCCTCTCCCGCACTCACACGCAGAACAACTTCTCCTGCGCTCGTTATGGCCGTCTCCATTGACCACAAGGTCGACAACAAACTCACTCTTACCAAGTCCGAGGAGGCTTTCGCTGCTGCCAAGGTACGATACCTCTTCCTCTGCAATTGGAATCATACTCAATGATTTTATTTAATTTTGATTTCGATTTTGATTTTCATGTTAGGAGCTGTTGCCTGGAGGTGTGAACTCCCCAGTTCGTGCCTTCAAATCGGTAGGTGGTCAACCAATTGTGATTGATTCTGTTAAAGGGTCTCGCATGTGGGACATCGATGGAAATGAATACATTGACTACGTCGGTTCTTGGGGTCCTGCCATTATTGGACACGCTGATGATCAGGTAAGAACCAACCTTCCCGTTTTCCATTCATTCGTTTATAATATATTACTTGTGTTAAATACACTCAGAATGAGAGTCTTAAAACACCGTAAGAAAAGAAAAAAATGGAATTGGGTTATATTGAAGGATTTAATTTGAATGCACTGTCAGTTCAAACGTTTTTTCTTTCCATTAGATATTTTTTTCTTATTGACAGTAAAGGTCGTCGTTACATTGGCTGAATGAAAATTAAACTTCGTGTATGTTGGAACTTGTAATCACATTGACAGGTGCTTGCAGCTCTGGGTGAAACCATGAAAAAAGGAACCAGCTTTGGTGCACCCTGTTTGTTGGAAAACACTTTGGCTGAGCTGGTTATCGATGCCGTCCCTAGCATTGAAATGGTTCGGTTTGTCAATTCAGGCACGGAAGCTTGCATGGGTGCGCTCCGTCTTGCACGTGCTTATACAGGCCAAGAGAAGATCATCAAGTTTGAAGGGTGTTATCATGGCCATGCAGATCCTTTTCTTGTTAAGGCTGGCAGTGGAGTTGCCACCTTAGGACTTCCTGATTCCCCTGGTGTCCCCAAAGCTGCCACGTATGAAACCCTTACAGCCCCCTACAATGACATCTTGGCCGTTGAGAAGCTCTTTGAGAATAACAAAGGAGAAATTGCCGCTGTTTTCCTGGAACCTGTTGTTGGAAACGCTGGTTTTATTGTTCCTACACCTGAATTTCTTAATTTCTTGCGCAAAATCACCAAAGAGAACAATACCCTTCTCGTGTTTGATGAAGTTATGACCGGATTTCGATTGTCATATGGAGGTGCTCAAGAGTATTTTGGTATAACTCCTGATTTAACAACTCTTGGAAAGATAATTGGTGGAGGTTTACCGGTGGGTGCTTATGGTGGGAGGAGGGATATCATGGAGATGGTGGCACCAGCTGGCCCAATGTACCAGGCTGGGACCTTGAGTGGGAACCCTTTGGCCATGACTGCAGGCATACATACCCTGCAGCGTATTAAGGAGCCAGGAACTTACGAGTACTTGGACAAAGTCACAGGTGAGCTTGTTCAGGGCATTATTGAAGCTGGGAAGAGGGCAGGCCATGCAATATGTGGTGGGCATATTAGTGGGATGTTTGGTTTTTTCTTCACAGAAGGACCTGTGTATAATTTTACAGATGCCAAGAAGAGTGACACTGCCAAGTTTGCTAGGTTCTTTTGGGGAATGCTGGCAGAAGGTGTCTATTTGGCACCATCCCAGTTTGAGGCTGGCTTCACCAGCTTGGCACATACTTCTGATGACATTAAAAAGACAATAGCCGCTGCTGAAAAAGTTTTCAGAGAGATCTGAATGATAAATTTTGTTTCGTTGCAAAATTTAGAGAATGATTTTGTAGGTCACTTTAGATTATTGTTATGGCAATTGCTTTCGTTTGTATCTGTATTATTTTCCAGTCCTGTATCTACCCGGTGTATTATCTTGAGCTGTAAGTCACTTGAATTTGAAGCTTGTAAGCATTTGAAATCATTGTCTAACTTTTAATTCTAGTGCCACGTTTTATGTTGTTGTTGGCGTGTATTTTGGTTATGCATTACATATCAGGATACATCTTTGTGGACTACACACTTTCAGGGTGGGAATAGGCAGAGAATTATGTTACTACTAATTAAATTGAAGATAATAGATGAACCTTGTTTTCTAAATGGATGGATGAACTTGAGCAAGATGTCCGTATTATTAAAGAAGCAAACAGATAGGACGATCAACATTTTTCTGTTGCCTACAGGGGTGGACTGTTAATGAATATTTTTCCATATTTGCATAAGCTATTCATTAAAACTATACTCATGGTGTGCATACTCATTTCTCTTGCAACAATTATTAGCAGGAGCCCAGACACAATGGTTTGACTAGCAAGGGTTCTTTCTTTATTCGCCGTTTGAGAGCAAGTATAGTTGACATGTTCTTGTAAGTCTCGAGTGCCTCTCTAAAATTCACCCAACATCAATTTCCAAGTTCTATAAATACTCATTCAGGTCCCTGAAACGTGCATGTACCACAATACTCATTAGGTTGAATGTTTATTACAAACTTCGGGCAACTTTGCTTATTTTCTGATAAACGGCAGCGATTTTGAAAATAATTAGCTGTTGTATTAATCGGAGGGTTTTCCAGAAAGGCCACAATCAGTGCAGAGCATTTTATGTCGACCGGAACAATTTTTTAAGGTAAACAGAGTTCCGTTTTTTTTTATTTTTACAAATATTTAATGCAGATACTTTCATTTTGTGTATTTTCGAGTTCTACGCTCAGCATTTTTTTCCTCAACTAGCGTAATACCCTTGCCCATGCACATTAGAAATCAAACAAGATGAAGGATAAAGAAAATTCTGATATATTTTGAGCCTCTGATACTTATATCACAACCTCTAATGTATCGCAACCTTCACATGAAATGTACAATGCAGTTAAATTAAATTTTGTCTTCATACAAAATTTGGGTTTCAATCTGCAGCCTCTGTCAAGATGCTCCGTGTGGACTTCAGCCAGCCGATCTCGCAAAAAGTCCAAAGTAAGCTGGATCTCAAAAGAAAAAAGATGATGTTAAGTGTCTGAACAAAGCCAAAGTATAAGAGCAGCTATAGTTTGGCTTATAACCTATATCATCATGCAGATACGACTATCATACATATATTCAATAAAGAAAAACTGAGACGATTACAAAATATTATACTTCTTTCAAAATCCCAACGACCAAGTATCCTCAAATATCTCAATATTTTATCACGGCTGAATAGACTCAACTCTCACAGTAAATAAACGATTTTCCTCTACAAAAGATGAGCTGTTAGACTGTGACATGCCTCTTGCTTGGATGTTACATCAAACAAATGAAGGAACTTGCTATTGTTATGCTTTCATTACCTACATTTACCATTAGCCCATGTTTACAGGTTATTAAATTCCTCTTTATATCTTGTTAACAATTTAAAATAAAAAGAAAAATCATTGAGCTTTCTAAATGAGTAGTATACTTAACAAGGGAGCTATGGGATCTCAGTAAAATTACAGAATCCTTGATGTTCTATTTCATGGCCAGAAAAATAATAGAAAGCATAGCACTAAAGTAGCAAATATAAGTACCTCACTGGCTTTGTTTAGTTGAAGTTCACAACGAGTACAATATATAAGATTGTGACTATCTTTAAGCTCTCCTTCCTTACAAATGGGACACCAAATCTCTTTCCCATGTGCCTATTACGAATTTTCATAACCAAATCAGAGACTTCATTCCAATTCAAGGAAAAGAAATTAAGGTTGCTTCGAAAATAGTAAGAAACACTACAGATAAGTACAATTTTTTTCTGAAAACATAGCACAAATTCTGTAGTCAGCGGCAACGTGGAAATGACACTGATTATGATGTGATCTGAGAAACCAGTGCACAGAAATGGCCATAGGATACTCAAAATTTGGTTTATGTTATAGATACAGATGCAGATATTGGCAGCAAACCTAACATGTTTGGGTATCAGTGACTGAAGAATGCTATAGATGCAGAATCAAAATCTAAGAGTTCTGTTATTGAGAGATGCTAATATCTAATTAAAAGATAACTTGGGAAACTGCCATGTTTAAAATCCTGTACCTCGTTTTCATTTAGCTGCATATGCTCATAAACCGCACGAGCCAGGTACTCATCCACTTCATGTTCCCAAATTTCAACATCGCTTTCTAACTCTGCAGGGAGAGAGGTAACATGACCATATTATATTTAAAACAGGTTCAATTAACGCAATTTGAATAGCAAAACAGGTGCTCCTTTTCCACCATTGTCTTCTTTCTCCATCTACTCATCAGGCACAATCAATCACACACGCTCACCTATGCAGATGCATAAATACATCCACGTGCTATGCAATGAACTAAGTCATAGAACACGATATTACATAGCAGGGAAGATGACACATTATTGGATATGATTTGCATATAATTGGGAGCGAGTTGCTTACCTTGTGGTTGGGATTTGAGGTCTTCGTAAAAGATCCTTTGCATTTCTAAGAGTATTTCTTCATATTGATCCGGGCAAGTGGTGAGAGGAGGACCTTCATACTCCCATAACACCTCGTCCCTGCGT